CCTCCTCCTCCTCCTCCTCCTCCTCCTGCTCTTCCTCCTCCTCCTCCCCCTCCTCCGTGGACGACCGCGGGAGGCGCGCGCGCGCGGCCTGCGCCGGGCAGCGCGGCCGCGGTCTCCGCGCGCGCCTGCCACCACCCGAAGTCGGTGTACTCCTGCCGGCCGCCCCTCGCCGCCGTCGTCTCGGGCGGGCGGTCACGACGAATTTAGCAGGGACCGACCGACCCGGCATTCCTAGTCCTACCACGAGCTATTTTTAGAACCAAAAAATGGTTTTAAAACAATTAGCCAGACGAAGGACCCAACCATATGCAGGTGTGAGTACCGCAATTGTGATTCCCTTTTTCGGTGGTGATCCCGATGCGGCAACGAACCGTGCTAGTGGTGTGCCAAAATGAATGGCGTGGTACACAACGCGAACGAAAACGATTGATCTTAGTACGTAGGGAGACTGAGCGCGGGTGAATGAATGGCTGGTACACAACGCGCGAAAACGATTGATCGTACGTAGGGAGACTGAGCGCGGGTGAATCTGAGCGCGAGTGCGTCTGACTGTGAACGAATCTGCGTGCGAGCGAGTCTACGTGCATGAATGCGAGTATGCCAGTGCATGGTGCAATTGTGCAATTGTATATGAATGTTAATAGTTTGTGAATGACTGCCTCTGAGTACTCGTGACGCTGGGCGTGGCCGCCGCAAGGAGCTTCCCCAGGACTCCCCGACGGCGTCGCCCGCGCGCCGCGACGCCACCGCGAGGATCGCGCCCGCTTCCTCCCCATCTTTTACTCCCTCTTTGCCCGCGCACTCGAAGTCCAAAGGTGCGGGCGCAGCGCAGCGCGGAGTCCCAGCGACGCGCGCAGGTCGCCCCGGAGGGGTCCCAGCGACGCGCGCGGGTCGCCCGCTGCGCGCAGCAAAGAGAGCTAGCTGGCTGGCTGATAGCGGGCAAGGCTCTTGCCGCTGGGCAGAGCGACGACGGGCGAGGGAGGCGCAGAACCCCGACGGCCTCCGACGGAGGTGTAATGGGTGGTGGAGACGCGTGCGGACTGCGCCACGGGGACCTTCGGTGGAGCTCTCTATGGGGCCACGAAGCGCCTGAAGGGTGTGCCGAAATGGGTGTGCGGGACGAATGCGGGCACACCCACTCGGACCTTCGGTGGAGCTCCGTATGGGGCCACGAAACGTGTGAGGGGTGTGCCGAAGTGTGTGTGTGTGTGTGTGTGTGTGTGTGTGTGTGTGTGTGTGTGTGTGTGTGTGTGTGTGTGTGTGTGTGTGTGTGTGTGTGTGTGTGTGTGTGTGTGTGTGTGTGTGTGTTTGTGTGTGTGTTTGTGTGTGTGTTTTGTGTGTGTGTGTGTGTGTGTGTGTGTTTGTGTGTTTGTGTGTTTTGTGTTTGTGTGTGTGTGTTGGTGTGTGTGTTTGTGTGTGTTGTGTGTGTCGGGACGCATTCGGGCACACCCACTGGACCTTCGGTGGAGTCTCCCTATGGGCCACGAAACGTGTGAGGGGTGTGCCGAAATGTGTGTGCGGGACGCATGCGGGCACACCCACGGGACCTTCGGTGGAGCTCCCTATGGGGCCACGAAACGTGTGAGGGGTGTGCCGAAATGGGTGTGCGGGACGCATGCGGGCACACCCACTGGGACCTTCGGTGGAGCTCCCTATGGGGCCACGAAACGTGTGAGGGTGTGCCGAAATGGGTGTGCGGGACGCATGCGGGCACACCCACTGGGACCTTCTGTGGAGCCCCATGGGGTCACGAAACGTGTGAGGGGTGTGCCGAAATGGGTGTGCGGGACGCATGCGGGCACACCCACTGGGGCCTTCGGTGGAGCTCCCTATGGAGGCCACGAACGTGTGAGGGGTGTGCCGAAATGGGTGTGCGGGACGCATGCGGGCACACCCACTGGGACCTTCGGTGGAGCTCCCTATGGGGCCACGAAACGTGTGAGGGTGTGCCGAAATGGTGTGCGGGACGCATGCGGGCACACCCACTGGGACCTTCGGTGGAGCTCCCTATGGGGCCACGAAACGTGTGAGGGGTGTGCCGAAATGGGTGTGCGGGACGCATGCGGATGGGACCTTCGGTGGAGCTCCCTATGGGGCCACGAAACGTGTGAGGGGTGTGCCGAAATGGGCGTGCGGGACGCATGCGGGCACACCCACTGGGACCTTCGGCGGAGATCCCTATGGGGAGGAGGAGGAGAGGAGGAGGAGAGGAGGAGAGGAGACGCGGGCCACCGTCTCTTCAAAACGAGGACCCAACAACACAGGTTGGTTGGGAAAAAACATGTTCTTAGAACATAAACCCCATGTGTTAAAATAAGACAATCGCCGCCAGAAATGTTCTAAGAACCTTTGTGGAAACCACAAAAGGTTCTTAGAACATTGTTTGGTAGGGCTTATAGGCGAGCCAGGACGCTTCGCCACTGCTTGAACAAAAGGCTCCACTCGAGGCGGCGAGGACGAGGGAAGATGTCTGGCATCTGCCGACCCGGGTCGATCCAGACCCGGGTCAGTCAGGCCTGGCAGGATCCTGCGGGATCCTGCGGGAGCCTGCAGCCACGCCCGGGGTCAGTGCGCCCCTGGCCCTGCAGCATCCTGCAAGTTCCGGCGCCCTGACTGGCCCCCGTTTGCATCGACCCCCGCCCCCTGCGCCCCGAGAGGAGGGCGAGCCGCCGCAGCGCCGGCCGCCCACCTCTCGCCCTCCGTCCTCGACGGCGGCACCGCTGTGCGACGGCAGCGACGTGCCGCCGCCGACGGCGACGGGCGGCGGCAACGGCGGCGACGGCCGCGACGCCCGCCGCCGCCGCCCTCTCGGGCGGGTGACCTGCGTGGGTGGTGAAGCAGAGGGCCCTAAGGGGGCCCATTGCTCTTCGACCTCCTCCTCCTCCTCCTCTTCTTCCATTCCTTCTCCTTATGACTAACTTTCCCCTGTCGCATCCCGAGGCCAAGTTGTAGGGCGGGCCGAGCGTTTCGCCTGAGACTTCCTCACCATGTACGACTCTTAAGGATAATAATTGGCAACAGCTTCACAGATGTAGGGCGGGTGGTTTTCAAAATGTGACTCTCGCCTTAGCGCGGCACACGTTCGCTTTAACAATTTGCAAGAGCTTCACGGATTGAGGGCGGGCCGTTTTCAAAATGTGCCTCTCGCCTTCGCGCGGCGCACTTTCCGCTTTAACAGAATTGCAAGAGTTTCACGGATTGAGGGTGTGAATCTCAAAATGTGCCTCTCGCCTGAGCGCGGCGCACATTCGCTTTAACAGAATTCCAAGAAATTCACGGATTGAGGGCGTGTAGTTTTCAAAATGTGCCTCTCGCCTGAGCGCGGCGCACATTCGCTTTAACAGAATTCCAAGAACTTCACGGATTGAGGGCGTGTAGTTTTCAAAATGTGCTCTCGCCTTCGCGCGGCGCACATTCGCTTCAACAGAATTCCCAGAGCTAATGGATTGAGGGCGTGTGGTTTTCAAAATGTGCCTCTCGCCTGAGCGCGGCGCACATTCGTTTTAAACATTGCGAAGGTTCACGGATTGAGGGCGGGTCGTTTTCAAAATGTGGCTCTCGCTTTAGCGCGGTGCAATTCGTTTGCAACATTTGTAACCGTTTCACAGTTTCCCATCACCAACGTACCCGAAATAGTGCTTTGGAAAGATTCAGGGTTATGCGGGCGCAAAAGTTACGTTGATTCGCTGTGTCGAAGTCCCAGGAAAGGCGTTCTGGTACGATTCAGGATCGTCAACACGCAACAGTCAGGTTAGCCCGAGGCGTTGGAATCCCGAGAACAATGTCTTGGCATGCTTCAGGGTCTTCAGACGGTTGTCTTCCAACGAGGCAGTTCCCCCCATGGACATGAACCGTTGTAGGGGCCTGTGAAGAGGGAGCTTGGATGGAGGGTTTCTTCCAACCTCGTTGATGACTCTTGGGTTTACACTGGTCCTCCTCCTCTTCCTCCTCCGCCTCCTCCTCCTCTTCCTCCTCCTCCTCCTCCTGCTCCTGCTCCTGCTCCTCCTCCTCCTCCACAATTACTCAATATGAATACTACTCTCCCTCTTCCCCTGATAACGGCCTGGGAGTGTCCGACCCCCCCCCCCGCGTACTGTTTTTTACGCACAGGTTTCCCCGGAGTTGGGTTTTCGCCTGCATTTTTTTCAAAATGCTGCTCTCGCTGAGGCGCCGGCCTCATTTTCGGCCCCGCTCGTTCCGAATCGTGCTCCCGCTGCAGCGCTGGCCTCAGTTCCGTGCTTCCGCTCGTTCCGAATCGTGCTCCCGCTGCAGCGCTGGCCTCATTTTCGCGCTTCCGCTCGTTTCGACTCCTGCTCCCGCTGCAGCGCTGGCGTCATTTCCCGTGCCATGCCACGGCATGCACTGCAATGCTAGGTTGATACTACGCTTTGCGGTGCTCTTCTACGCCATGCCATGCCGTGCTCTACAATGCATCGCGTACCCATCATTGCCCTGCTCGACATCCGACTGAGCGAGTAGAGAGGGGATCTGCGCCATGGTAAGGGATGGGAGGGAGGGGTAGGATGTCAGATATGACGCGAGCGCACCTAGCTTGTCCTCCCTCCTCCTCCTCCTCCTCCTCCTCCTCCTCCTCCTCCTCCTCCTCCTCAACTGCTCTTCTTCCCCCCAGGCAGGTGACCCCTCGATACCGCCCGTCCGATCTTCTCCGTCCTCGCCGACGCCCTCGCGGCCCGGCCTCGTGCCTTCGCCGCCCCACCGCCTGCAGCATGCCAGCCGCCACGCCCCTCCGCACTCCTCCTTCTTCGATCCACCTTGCACCTCACACCTCACACCTCCTCCTCACACCTCCTCCTGCTCCTCCTTCGGCTCACTCCTCGCTCCTTACCTCCTCCTCCTCCTCCTCCTCCTCCTCCTCCCTCCTCCTCCTCCTCCTCCTCCTCCTCCTCCTCCTCCTCCTCACTCCTCACTCCGAATTCCTCACTCCTCCTCCTCCCTCCTCCTCCTCCTCCTCCTCTCCTCCTCCTCCTCCTCCTCCTCCTCCTCCTCCTCCTCCTCCTCCCCTCCTCCTCCTCCTCCTCCTCCTCCTCCTCACTCTCACTCCTCACTCCGAATTCCTCACTCCTCCTCCTCCCCCTCCTCCTCCTCCTCCTCCTCCTCCTCCTCCTCCTCCTCCTCCTCCTCCTCTCCTCCTCCTCCTCCTCCTCCCCCCTTCTTCCTCCCCTTCGTCCTCTTACTCCCTCTGCTCCTTGAATTCAGCCTCCACCTGCCCTCTCAGTCTCCTCCTCCTCCTCCTCCTCCTCCTCCTCCTCTTCCTCCTCCTCCTCCTCCTCCTCCTCCTCCTCCTCCTCCCTATCTCCTTCTTCTCATCCCCTCGGTCTCCTCTTCCTCCTGCTCCTCCTCCCCCTCGTCCTCTCGCTCTCCCCTCGCGGGTCCTGCCCTACTCCCCCTCCTGCCCCCGCCCCGTCCAGCATGCGCTTGATGATGGATGCCATCCACGCGCGCCCTGGGACAAGCAGAGGCACGCCGATGCTGTACAGCTCGCTGAACAGGAGCATCCCCATGTCCCTCCCGCGGATGGCCGGTAGTTAAAAGGGCGAGTGGGGGAGATGTGTGAATGGAGGACGGGAGGGGAGCGGTCGAGGGCAAAGGTGCGAGCAAGGACGCGGATAAGGGAAAAGTCCTTCGAGAGGAGGGGGGGCAGAGTCACACTGAGCCGAGAGGGATGGCGGACTCCTCTGCCCTCGAAGCAAGGGAGGATGAATAGAGGAGTGCGCATGGAAGCGGGAAACGAGAGACGCGCGCTCAATGGAGCGCGTCTCCCTGATCTCCTCTTCCTCCTCATCCTGCTCCTCCCATTCCTTCTCGACCTCGACCTCCGCCTCCCGTTCGACCAGCGCCTCCCCCTGACACCCGACGCCGTGAGAAGATCACGACAGGACGCCCGACGCCATCTTGTGAATGACCCCTCCCTCACAGTCGGCGACCCCCAAACGTGCCCCCCGGAGCGCGTTCTGACCAGGACTTCGAGGCGGGGCCAGCCGTGGCGAAAAGGACGCCCCCAGATGCCGAAGGAAGAAACGAGGAAGAGGAGAAGGGGGGCCCTCATGTGGAGGCCCCTCCTCTTCCTCCTTCTCCTGCTCCTCCTCCTCCTCCTCCTCCTCCTCCTCCTCATCCACCCCTCCTCCTCCTCCCCCCCCTCCTCCTCCTCCTCCTCCTCCTCCTCCTCCTCCTCCTCCTCCTCCTCCCTCCTCCCTCCTCCTCCTCCTCCTCCTCCTCCTCCTCCTCTCCTCCTCCCCTCTCCTCCTCCTCCTCCTCCTCCTCCTCCTCCTCCTCCTCCTCCTCCTCCTCCTCCTCCTTCCTCCTCCTCCTCCTCTCCTCCTCCTCCGCCTCCTCCGCGCCTCCTCCCCTCTCTTCGCGTTAGACCAGCACTGCACCACGTTAATCGAATTGTGTAAGCGTTGGTGCGATGCGCAAGCTCCTCCTTCTCGGCGCCCTTGCCGCCTCCTCTTCCCCAAGGGGGAAGTCGTGCAGCCTCCTCCTCCTCCTCCTCCTCCTCCTCCTCCTCCTCCTCCTCCTCCTCCTCCACCTCACACCTCCTCCCCCTCCTCCTCCTCCTCCTCCTCCTCCTCCTCCTCCTCCTCCTCCTCCTCCTCCTCCCCCTCCTCCTCACTCCTCCTCCTCCTCCTCCTCCTCCTCCTCCTCCTCCTCCTCCTCCTCCTCCTCCTCCTCCTCCTCCTCACTCCTCCTCCTCCTCCTGCTCCTCGGAGCCCGTGCCGCCTACTCCTCCCTAAGGAAGCCGTGCAGCCTCCTCCTCCTCCTCTTATTATTATTCTTCTTCGTTGTGTGATTGTCCTTTCCTTACTCGCATTATTCATAGTAGTATTGTTATTAATATTAGTATTATGTTTTTTTTTAAAATTATTATGTTTATCAGTGTTCGCATTCTTCTTGTTATTCTTATCATTGCTCTTGCTACATGTAGTATCATTATTATTATTACTGTTATTTTTATTCGTATTAGTATTATTAGTATTATTATTACTATTATTATAATTATTATTATTTGTATTATTATTAGTGTTACTAGTATTATTATTAGTATTCTTATTATTATCAGTCGTATTATTATTATTATTATCAGTATTATTACCATCATCATTATTACTATTCTTCCTCCATCTGCTCCTCCTAATCATCCTCCTTCCCCTCCAGCTCCTCCCGCTCCTCCTCCTCCTCCTCCTCCTCCTCCTCCTCCTCCTCCTCCTCCTCCTCCTCCCTCCTCCCTCCTCCCTCCTCCCTCCTCCTCCTCCCCGAGGCGCCCGCCGGCGTGGGCGTGCGCCCGCGGTCACGGTCTCGGGGCGCTGGGCGGGCCACGGCCGCGCACGTCGTCCCCGTGCCGACTGAAGCGGCGGCGGCGGCGCCATCGGCACGCGCAGCCGCTGGCGCCCCTGGGCGCCCGGGGCCCACGGGGTGGAGACAGCCCCCGGAGGATAGCCTGGGAGCCAGGATAGCCTGAGATAACCCAGGAGCTGTGTGTACGCCCTCCTGGCCAAGGCCAAGCCAGGAGGGCGTGGCCTATACACCACTGCTGAGTTCAGGATGGGTTTCCCCAGACTCGGGGGAGGCCAACGGGGTGGAGATAGCCCCCGGAGGTGGGCAGTTGCGCGCATTCGCCTGGGAGCCTCGCCGCACACGTGGGCGATCGGAGCCCCATGGATACATGGATGCCCTGGCTTAGGTCGGGCACAGCTCCCTCCAGGCGGAGGTTGGGAGAACACTTAGAAGAGCCAAACGATAAGCAGGCAAAGACAGAATAGCACGGAGCATCGTCCCCAGACCATTTTCTGACCATCCTCGAGTTTTCCACCTGTAGAGAGACGTGCCCGACTTCAGCCTACGGTCGGGTACTCTTGGGTGGCATGTCGCGGCGGCGGCCCCGGCGGCTCGGTGTGCCGTGCCAGCGGGCAGCAGGTCGCCCCGCTCCGCGGGGCGGGAGGCCCGGAGAGGCTCGCGACGTGGACGCTGCTCGGGAACGGTCAAGAGGGTGGCGTGTCGCGGCGGCGGCCCTGGCAACACGCTGTGCCGTGCGAGCGGGTAGCGTGTCGCTCCGCTTCGCGGAGCAGGAGGCCTGTGAAGGCCCGGGACGTGGACGCTTGGGGACCTGGAAGTGAGTGGATAGCGTGCCGCGCCGACGCGTGGTAGGCCAAAACGGGCGGAACGACACGCGATCCCAAAGTTCCCGTAACACGAATTCAGAACAGGGACAACATCGGACAAGGACACCTCGGGAATCTCGGAGCTCCGGCAGTTCTGGGCATCTCGGGCGCCGCGGCCTTGTCAGAGCGTTCTCCGGAAGGCTCTCCGAGAGCGTTCCAGAACGCGCAGGAACGATCTATCCTTGTCCGAGCCCCACCCGATCCTGGTGAAACCAAAAAATACCCATACGGCTACTCCCTGGACCTATCTCGGGGTGCGTTCGGACCAGAATTTCGAGGCGAATCCAGCGGTAGCGACGAGGTCCTCCCATGAGGCCCCATAAAGGGAAAAACGAAGCGAGCGTGGTACTCCAAGATAATATTTTCGGACGAGGTTGGCCAGCGAAAGTTACCGAGGATGGGCCGAAGGGACAAGGATGCAAGGGTAGCCTTGGAAGTCGCTCATCCTTACGATGCGGGTTGGCTGGATCGGAGGATCGCGCCGAATCGCCGATACATCGGCTATGCATCGGCGATACATCGGCGATGCACCGGCGATGCATGCGATGCATCGGCGTCGCCAGCGTGGAGAAAAGCGGGCCCCACATCGAACCGCTTCGGCGATGCATCGGCGATGCGGCGCGGTCCTCCGACCCCACCTACGTCGGCCCCATCTAAGAGGCATAGGCTGTACGGGTGCCTCTTCCTCCTCTGGGATCCCGTCGCCCCCGTGGCGCGCGACGCGCAGAGCGCCGACTGCCCCCAGTCCGTCCCTCCCCCCCTCCCCGCCCCTCCCCCCCTCCTCCCCTCCCCGACCCTCCTCCCCTCTCCGCCCCTCCCCCCCTCCTCACCTCCCGCCCCTCCCCCCCTCTCCGCCCCTCCCCCCCTCTCCCCCCCCGCCCCGCCCCTCCTCCCCAACTCTCCGCCCCCCCCCCCGGCCGGAGAAATCACGACACTCCCCTCCTCTCCGCCCCTCCCCCTGCCCTCCGCATTCGGTGGCGACTCATCGGAGCCTCCCCATACCATCTTCTCGGCTCTTGCGAATCGACGCTCGTCGACACTAAATCGACGCTGATCGACGCTAAATCGGCGCTAATCGACGCTGACTGGCGGTATATTGGCGCTATCTCATCGACTCCCAGAGGGTAACCGACGCTAATCGACGTTCAAGACGGACTTACGAGAATACAGACCTCCCATGATTTGCTACCGAATCCCCCCCGTCCGCCCCCTCCCCCTGCCCCCCGCCCTCCCTCCCCCGCCCCACCACGACAGGCCTGCCATGGCATCCGTGTATCCATGGGGCTCCGATCGCCCACGTGTGCGGGGAGGCTCCCAGGCGAATGCGCGCAACTGCCCACCTCTGGGGGCTATCTCCACCCCGTTGGCCTCCCCCGAGTCTGGGGAAATATCCCGCCCCCAGTCGGGCGACGAAATCTATACATATCCACTGCTCCCTGGCCAGGCCCATCCTGAACTCAGCAGTGGTGTACAGGCCACGCCCTCCTGGCTTGGCCAGGAGGGCGTACACATATCTCCTGGGTTCAGGATGGGCCTGGCCAGGGAGCAGTGGATATGTATAGATTTTGTCGCCCGCTCCCAGGGCCGATTTACCCGCCCGCTCGCCCCCCCCCCAGAGGGTAACCACACGAGGGCCATGTCCAGGACTGAACGGAAAAACGACGGTGTCGACCTTGGTCGACGTCCATGACATCGTCGATTCGGGGCCCCCTGCAAATCGGCGACGGCCTGCACGGACCATGCCCAAGGTCGGCGTCGGCAAAATCTCGCGACATCTTGGCCATGGTCCCCGTGTTTCTTCCCTCGGCCCCCTCCCCTTTTCGGGAGCGGCCAAGAGGGGGGTGTCCAAGAGGGGGGGTGCAAATCATGACCGGCGGCATGTGCGCGGCCCAGCGGGGGGGCCAGGGACGTAATGAAACAAGAAGAGGCGCCATGAAACCTGGGGAAATATCATGGCCCCCGCCATGATATCCACCCCCCCCTAGTCATCACCCCCCTCTTTTCCGCCCCCTCCCCTTTCCCTCCCTCCAGGGGAAGTACACGGCGGCCCGGAAGCGCCGCAGCTCGGCGTAGCCGAAGGGCTGCGCGACGCCCGCCACGAGCGCGGAGGGCTCGCGGACCACGCCTCGCAGCCCCGCGCCCGAGCGCAGGCGCGAAGGGGCTCGCGAAGAGGAGCGGGAAGTGGCGCGAGGGGGGGTGGGAGGAGGGAGGACGACTCCGGAGAACGGGGGTGCCCAGGACGGAAGGGTGGAGGGAGAGGGAATTCCTTCGCCTCCCCCCCCCTTGTACCTCCCCCTCGCGCACCAGGGGGACGGGGTGACGGGCAGGAGGAGGCGGAGGAGTGAGGAGAGACACGGGGGAATCATGCCGCCAAGGGGCTGGCGAGAGCCCTCGTAGCAACGACTCTCGGGAAGCTGGCCACATGGGTGCCTTCCTTCGGCACGGCGTGGCTCTCTCTTTTTTTTTTCTCTCTCTCTCTCTCTCTCGCGTTCTTTCTCTCGCTCTCTCTCTCTCTATGCCTTTATGTAGGTTGTTGTTCGTTGGTTCGTTATGTATATCTTCTTTTTTTGTTGTGTCTGTCTTTCTTTCTCTCTCTCTCTCTCTATATATATATATATCTTTCAGGACGATGCGCCGCTACAGGCAAGGCTGCGAAGAACCTCGTGCAGTCGGGCGGGTTCCGACCGCGATGTGAGCGCAACTGATCGAACGCCCGCCCAGAGGGCCCGCGATCCGAGCAGGGCAGGCTGCGCATACTCTGGAGCTGCGTGCGCCCTCCTGTCTGCAGGGCGGGACGGGTGCGACACAAGCAGACATGTCTTCCTCCTCCTCCTCCTCCTCCTCCTCCTCCTCCTCCTCCCTCCTCCTCCATCCTCCATCCTCCTCCTCCTCCTCCTCCTCCTCCTCCCCCTCCTCCTCCTCCTCCCTCCTCCTCCTCCTCCGGGCGCGACCCCGCGGATACGCGGTCGCACGGGCACGATGCCGCGCGGGGCTCTCCGCGAACTGTGAGGGGGGGAGCAGGGCGGGACGGGCCGCTACCATGCGATGACAGTACGTTGCATAGTGATCGCGAGTGGGCCCGAATAGTTTGAGGTCGTTCCAGATCTGTGGGGATTCTGACGGGGGACTCAGCTATACCTTTTCCCTCTCGCCTTGGCAACAGCTTGCAAGAAATCGAGTGGTCGCTCCGCAGAAGCCCCAAACCACGGGAATTCGATGCCGTCACCGCGCCCATTATCACCCCGCCACTGCGGGCTGCAGTGACGCCCCCTAGGAAATCACGGTAGTGAGCGATGTCGAACACCTGCCAAGAGAAATTAGGTGCGAGCAATGTTGGGTATGGGATTGTTGCCAAACATTAACACACATACCTACACCTACATATGAGTTCTCGTGGTTTCCACAACAGGCTGAGACTTCTGTTGCGACCATACACGTCCAACCGAAGAAACGACAATCTAACTCAAACGGCTTGCGACGCGCTAGCTTTCACAACGCCGTCGTCCAGGCGACACGCGGCTTCTTCTGACGTAAGCTTCACAAGAACCGATGTATAGGTATAGAGGCATAGATGTAAGGTTCGTGAGATTATGAGACTCGTGACACTGACCGATGCCCAGAGCATGCGTTCGATGTTTATTGTACTTATGTCGCCAAACCATTGGAGCCAAGACCCCTCAGATCCGAGTTGCTCTGCCCGCCCCGTCACTTGTCCCCACCTGCATGTCTCTACGGCTCCGGCTGTGCCCACGATTTATCACAACAGAAATTCGGGGCGGTCGCCAGCTCCCGTCGCCAGCTGCGGCTTCGACCACCGGGTGCCAGACATACTGTCAGTCCGTGCCCAGTCGAGGATGCAGCGTCCGAGTCTAGACGATGATGCGTCCCAGCAACTTGCCAGGTGCCACCCGTGCGTGCTCACACGAGGATTGTGTGCTCCACGCCCAAGGGCGCATCTCAGGGCCGTCCCAAGCGTACCACGCGCGTCTACGATCGAGGATGGTGCGCCCTTCAGTAAGTCTTCGGCAATGCCCAACAGACGTCCCCTGAGCACGTCGCCAGTCACCTCGGCCAGCACGTCCACTCCACAAGGGACACACTCCTTGTGGGACTCGGCACAAGGTTCTAGTAGGATAATTAAGATACCCCCTCCGTCACCCTCTCATGACCATGCCGTGCGCAACGCGAGGGCGCACACGTGCACATTGAATGGCTCCACCGCACCCCTCGCCAACCAAGAAATACAAATCGAAGCCCAGATTCTGCCCCGAGTTCACGTTCAGCAAAATATTCCAGTAAGTAGACCATGGCATGAGCACCGTCCCTCCCACGGGCAATCCGTTGGCACCAAGGACGATAAAAAGTGGGCAACATGAATGGAGACAATACGAGAGAGGGGTCAAATGTTCCGCAAGCAAGTGGTAGGTGCACAGCCGTGACATCAGTTCCTTCAATGTGCCATTCTGATGGTAGCTCCAATCCCTCTAAAAACATCTAGAATTACATGATGACTGCGTCAATCGGCGGAGTAGTTTCCGATCCGCCTAATGCTTAGACATCTGCTACCTCAAAACCGGATCGGAAACTACTCGGCGCCAAACCCTATGAATTATCGAGCGGGATGCGCCCACGCGCGGAGTAGTTGAAGCATTTCTACTCCGAACTACTCCGCGCTGATGCGGGATTGGCGAAGGCATATTGAAAGACACTTTCGTCACGGTGATGAAGAGGTACCATTGGACATCATATGTTGCTGGGCCACAGAGCGGTGCCTCGTGGGGGTCGGGGCACAACCCAGGCAACTGCCAATAGCTTCGGCAATGCCATACATAACTTCTGCAACTCTGGGTGCTTACAGACGGCCAGGCGGGCCACGGGAGCCGGGAGCCGTGAACAGGAATGTTTTCCCATTCGGCGCTTCGACATTGAGAAAAAGGGGGGTGGGCAGGGTGGGGTCTGGCTCCGGACATCTGCTTCCTGCGACTGTCTGCAGCACTGCGTCCTAGATGGGGGAGCCTCCGCCTGCTCGAAGCAGGCGCCGAGAACAGCCAAGATCTACTCCATGTGGGAGGGTAGATGAAAGTCCTCCCAGATGAGGTCCGAGTAGATGGGGTCGGAGTGTTGCGCCAGATCGCCGCTGTATCGCCGATGCATGCATCGGCGATGTCGGCGATGCATCGGCGACGTCGGCGTGGGCAAACTGGGGCTCCACATCGAGCCGCATCGTCGATTCATCGGCGATGCGGAGCGATCCTTCGACCCCATCTACTCGGACTCCCTCTAGGAGGCCTAGAGGGGGCAGGGGGTGCGAGGGCCCGCGCCGATCGGCAAAACAAGGAATAAGAAGACGAGGACCACCACCTCTGCTCCCGCACGATCCCGCGCAGCTGTCCGGAGAGCGCTCCCTCTCCAGCCGCGGCCCTCCAGCGAGCACACCTGCGGCCGCACCCACGTCGAGGCCGCGGTCGTGTGCCCCTCGCGTGAGGGGCAACGATAGGGGGGGATTGGCTAGAGGGGGACACATCGACCTGGAATCGGCGATACATCGCCGATTGGCCCCCGATCGTGAAGCCGCACGTTCCTGGGCAAATTGAGGCTATCGGGCCCTTATCGGCGATCAATGGGCGATTGGGGGTCGATGCATCCCCCCCTTTGCCTATCCCCCTATTGTTGCCCGCGGTTACGAGAGCCGGGGCTGGGCCAGGGAGGCCGGGTATCTGCAGTCGGGCCGCCGAAGAAGGAGACCTTTTCGTTGGGAAGGGGCTCAGTGCTTCTTCATCGTTGTGCAGCTTGTCTTCTGTCTCCCCCCAGGTGTCCCATGGGACATCGAAGCTGAACTTTCTGGAACACAGGGGCCTCGTTCCTCACTTCGGGGTCCCTGTGACAGCGCTTCGACTGTAGAGGGCACGCCTGGCGCGCCTGCAGGCGTCTGGCGGCGCTGGCACCACACCCGCCGGGTCAGCCCAGCGCTGGGCGGAGGCCCGCCTGGCCCTCTGCAGGCGGCCCCGGGGGCGCAAACAGCGGGACGCTCTGACGCTGCTGGAGGCCGGCGCGCCTCGTGCCCTCTTGGTGGCCCAGCTGCAGCCAAGGCGTGGCATGGGGCGGCCCGAGGGCTGCCGCTCCCGATCCTCCTCCTCCTCCTCCTCCTCCTCCTCCTCCTCCTCCTCCTCCTCCTCCTGCAGAGCTGGGAAGAAAGCACCAGGATCGGGAAGGACGCAGGGAGCAGCAGGCGCTCCGGCCAGAAAGAGAGAAGATGAGCAAGCAAGGCTACAAAACGTCTCTTTCCCCACCACCCTGAGCAGAGTTCTGGCATCTGGGCGGCACCGACATCCGAATTACCCCCCGCGCTCCCCGCACGGCGGCGCTCCCCGCACAGCGCTCTTGAGGTCCTCGTAAGAAGACTCTATGCAACAGCTAACGTCCCTGTACGAGACCGAAAGCACGACGTTCCGGTCTGGGCTCGTTAGCACGATCTTCTGCCCGGACTTCTCGTGGAGCTTACGCAGATGAACCGCAACATCATCTTTGTCCAGGTGGAGGGCGCCTTCGTCTGTAGACCGGAAGAAAAGATGGTCTCTGAACAGCTTGCAAAGGTACCTGTCACCGGTTTCAGCCCAATGAATGTCACCATTGACGCGAGGCCTCTCGCAGATGGACACAAGCTTGTATAGCATGTCGGACCAGATTGACACCTCGGCCTTCTCCTCCTTGAGTTCAGCCTCTTTCGCATCCATGCGCAGTAACAAGTCCTTATGGGGCAGCAGCATTGCTTGGCAGTTCACTGCAGCCAGAACGTCATCGACCTTGAAAAACGCCTCTCTCT